CCCAGAAGTAAAAACCAATCATAAAAAGTTGAAAACCACTTGGTTAGTTCGGACGCCAAAAACCAACGCCGAAAACCGAATGCCGAACGCCGGTTTCTGAAACCCGAACGCCGGATGGCTTGATTTTTGGTTTGGGCGAACACCAAGTGTTTTTAATGTTTTAAACATGTTTGAAAAAATTTTTTATGATGTGTGAAATGCAATGAAAAGAATTTTAGCCTAAAGAGCCAAGATGTAAAGGTTGGGTCGGTCTTGATCACAATTATGACCGACTCAACAACACTAAGACTACGGTCTTCGTTCTTGGTCTTCTTTTGGGTCTTGTTCTCTTGCTTTCTTCTTATATTTATTTCTCGCCTTGTATATTCAATAACTTGTCTCGTTCACGGCGGTTTGGCATTATCAAAACCTGTCATAAAAACGAACACGGCTTTAGTACGAAAACATGATAAACCCGTGTTTCAACAAAATCCGAAGAAAAACGTTGCTCAGATCTCAAGGAGATAAGAAAATCCGTGGACAAGACTCTAGAGATTATTTCTCTTTTGAGTAACTCTGTGAGCAACACAATGGAGGCATATGCATCTGACAGTTATCTTCAACTGAAGGAGGTTAACAAAATCAGAGAGCAGATAGAAAATGTCACAGTCAGTCTACAGAAGCAGATGTCCTTTCTCCAAATGGACATCAGATCAGCCCTGGCAGTGTCTTCAGCAAATCAGGTAGTAATCCAAGACTACTTGAAGGTTATTGCTGAAAATCGGAAGGAAGCATTCAGGCTGTTCAGGCACTTTGGAACATACACTGGCAATCGCAAGATAGATGTAATTGTCCAACACAATAGTCCATCCCTAATTCCACAGCTGCCTATTGAAGTCAAGCAAGGAGAGCTCACTTACATTCCATCTCATCTGAACATGACGGAACTGATACTGGAAGCCCAGTAGAGCAATCCGGAGAACTCAACTCAACATCTAACAGACTCTGGCCTTGATGGATTAGAAGTTGTTGGAACCATTGCCTCCCACTTCTCAGATGATGCACAAACAAAGGAGAGATACAACAATCTAAGGCGCATCAAAGAACAGTGTGGAATTATGCAAGGCATTGGTGAGACTGACGGATCATCAAAGCGCAGGAAGCAGTGAAGGTTTTATTTTCATCAAACCAGGGGGAAAGTATGTGAAAACATTATTTGGTTTTGATGAAAACACCTTCTTGTTTAAACATGAGTTTTGGTTTAAACATTGCTTAATAGTTCTCTTGATTACGCTTATTTTGCTTGATCATATACATTTTAAGTGTGATTCTTGAGATTTATCCTTAAGCACATACATTCAGGGGGAATATAATTCAGGGGGAATATAATTCAGGGGGAACTTAATTGTTTTTGGCTAACAATTGCTTCAATTGTTTTTGGTAATGAACTATTAATAAACTCTAAGCAACGGAAGCCGGATACCTCAGTTTAAGTACTAAAGTTGGAGATCTCCGATTCAGGTACTTTACAAAATCTGCTTTCTTAAACTAAGCTTTAATCCTTAGTTCATTTCCAACTTTGCTCTTAAGTACTGGTCCTTAGGATTTTTATAATGTACAGGACTTTGGAAAAATAGTACCACTTTTTCTTTTAAAAATGAATTACAATTTTTTGGTACTACCTCGTCCTAATTAGAAATTAGAACTATAGGGATTGAAAAATGATGGTTTTATTTTGGGCCTTAAGAACCCAATAGGAATAATTTCCCTTTAGTGCATAGATTTTTTTGGGCCACTCTTTTGGGCTTAGCCAAACCAAAACTGTTACACTTTTCAAACCAAACGAAACTGATTTTTAATTGGAACAGTTTCAACACATTGGTAACTGGTAAAAGATTTCTTCTACTTTTCAACTTCTTGGAAGTTGAAACTCTTTTACTCTCACCGTTCCAACTACCCTCTTAATGGAACCCGTGAACCTCCCCTCTCTCTACCTCCTCTCCTATTTAAATCAAGACATTCCAATCCATTCCTATCACAAACAACTCTCTCAATATGAAAAGTCTTCAAACTCACTGTCTGAGAAAAACACCAAGAAAAATATCCTCAATGGAGAAATTTTTCTTTCTCACCCTCATAGACGGCACGGAGAAAGCCTAATGAGAAGAAAAGACTTTCAAGGTCTATGGTAAGAATTTTGGAAGTAGACAACACTCTCTCCATCTTTGTTTCTTCTAATTCTTTTTAAAAAATTTTCTCTTTTCTTTTATTTGTGCAGTCTCTGCACCCTTTTCCCAAGCATTTTTTAAAAAAATTACTTTTTCAAAATTTTTCCTTCTTTCTATCATATTTTTCTCTTTAAAACTCTTTTTCAAATTTTTTTTTCATCTTTAACCTTATTTTATCTTTTTCACAATCAATTCTCTTTTCCAAAACCTTTTTCTTGTCCTTCTGCCTTTTTCTTTTCTTCCACCGCCGCCTCCTTTCCCTCCACTTTCTTTTTGTTCTTGTTTTTGCTTTTTGGAGAGATGTTGGTTCCAAGATCTCAAATATCCACTTTGGATATTAAAGATCTATCAAACGCACCGCTATCTGTACTACCAAGCGAAATCTGCTGGAAGTGAAAGCGGAAAATGGCAGAAAATATCACAAATCTCAAGACAAGACTTGGTTTAGGAATTATTGTAATTTGAATTGTATTTGTTCAAGAGTTTTTGTTAACAAGCTGTATATTATGAGAAACTAAAAGAAAGTTATAAAATTAGTTCTTAGTACAGCGACCGGAACTCTTAAACACTTGTTTGTCATCATCAAAAAGGGGGAAATTGTTGGGAAAATATTATAGATTTTGATGATGATGTATTTAGATTGTAATAGGGACTTCAGGCCTCCCCCAATATTCAATGTAATTTTTATTTTTAGAAATATTGTTAACACCGAGTTCTTGAGATTTCCAATAAAGTTGTGATATTTCTTTAAGTGGTTTGATGCTTGAAGACTTAATCAAATTCTATGATATGGAAATTGGATATCTTGATCGGAAATGTCAGAGACAAGTTAGGATTTCTCAAACTAGATGAAAATCCTCTAATCCGGAACACTACATGATAACCGGATGTCTCGCTACAACCCGCTGAAGGCTAAGTCATTCAAATCGGAAGACTAGCGCGGATCTCTTTCTCACCCGGAAGTCTGTGAATGACTCTTCCGGATTTGTCAGCAAAAGAACCGGATGCCTCAAGAAAAGACCGGAACTCTCAGAAGCGGACAAGTGAGAAAAGACTTAGAAAAATTCTAAGTCTTGAATGAAGAAATTCTACCCGTTGGTAAGGAAAAACCAATCTCTTGATTTTCAACGGCTAGATTGAAGATAATTAAGCTGATTCAAGAACAAATGACTTGAAGACAAAGTCTGGACCCCTCAAATTAAAGAGCTCATCCAGAATTCCCAAACAAGCACTAGAAGACAAACTGAGTAAAGTGTTACAGACCAGAATTCTTGAACAACAGCTAGAAGACGGATTCTGTGGAAAAAGGAATCCCTCCTCAAACAATTGGGTATGTCCAAACACCCACTCCAATGAGGAATCCTCAATCACAATCTTCCATCAAAATTGAAGCCAGCAAATGCAACGGATAGTCTATTTTGATTCAACGGATAGATTATCCAATCGAGCTATAAATAGCAACCTTGGAAGACTGGAGAAGATATGAGGAGATAGACGAACACAACGAAGCATAGAGATTGTTGTTTCGATAGAGTAAGTGTCAATCGGGTTTTTCGAACTATTTCTCTCTAAAGATTTTGAGGAATAGGTCTTCGTTTGAAGAGGAGGAAGGTTTCTCGATATCACATTTGTGAACTTCCAAAGGAACGGAGTTCATGGTGTGGTGCAACTTCCTATATTGAAAACATCAAACTTCTTGATTAAAAGGGGATAGATCAACTTTCTCACAAGTTGATCTTGTAGGTCCTATTGTTCGGATCTTGCAATTGTTGAAGAAGCATGACCTTCGAAGGAACAACAAAGCCAGCACGAGTGCAGTAGCAACTTTGGCCTTGCGAAGATATACCGTGCAGAAATTCACACAAGTGTAATTGTTGGTTCATTATTCAACAACCAACTACATAGTGGATTTTGAGGACGTAGAAGGATTACCCCACCTTCGAACCTCGTTAAAGTTTGCGTGTCTCTCTTTTATCTTTACTCTTACTTGTAATTATATTAACTGTGAAAACTAACCCATCCATATTGATTACTGCTCATACTACCCACCAAATTCCGCACACAATCTAAAGTTCCCAAAACTCTAGATTTACACTATTTTCACGTTTTCAAAAGAAACGAAAAAAGTTTTAAATTTGTTACAAAGTCTATTCACCCCCCCCCCCTCTAGACTTTGCATCTCACCACTTTGGGACCACCATGTGGCTATTATGCATCGCATAATAACCACACATTTTGTGGGGTGCTTACGGGGGGTTGGGGTGGGGGTGCGGGGGTAGGGTCGGGGGTTTATGCATTGCATAGATATTGCGTAGAAACCGTCAATTTTGCATTGGGACCACCATGTGGCTATTATGCATTGCATAGAAACCGTCAATTTTGCGAACGGAGCACCGGAGGTAGACTAAAATTTTGCGAACGGAGCAATTTGAGGGATCTCTGCGAAGCAATGGGTCAATGGGATAGATGAGTCCCACTTCTAAGAGGATGGGAACCCATCGAGCCAGTAGCGATCAAAGATAGGGAAACCCCCCTTCCGAAGAGAGGGGTTTGCGGCACACCTAGGATAAATTGGGGCCCCTAAGAGCCCCAAGAGAAAAGTGATAGAGGCCATCGTCATCCTTAGAGTCGTCCACCTCTTCACTTTGGTGAAATTGGGGCCCCTAAGACCCCTAGGAGAAAAGTGAAGAGCAAGTTGGACCGATTGGTCTCCAATCGCGGTCCCAATCTCTTCTTTTTCAACATCTTCCGACCCCTTCCTTTGCTACTCCCGGCTCCACGTGTGAGGTTGGGTCTTCCTCCTCTCAAGCTCATCGTAAATGGGTCCGGAGCTCCACTCCACCCCAAGGCCCGGGAGGTTCTACCGTCATAGCCATGGAGGTCGCCGGAGACGCTCCGCCTTCTGAGCAGGACACGGCGTCCACCGACCTTCCTTATCCTTATGCTCGGGAGGATCATCTCTTTGTGGGATAAACTTCTTGGGCCAGAAGGTACTTCCAACATTGCCTAAGTGAGATGGAGCAATTCTGGAAGGATCACCCTGATGTGGTCTAAATGCCAAGAGCCCCAAGAGAAAAGTGATAGAGGCCATCGTCGTCCACCTCTTCATTTTGGTGAAATTGGGGCCCCTAAGAGCCCTAGGAGAAAAGTGAAGAGCAAGTTGGACCGATTGGTCTCCAATGGCGGTCCCAATCTCTTCTTTTTCAACATCCTCCACTGGAGATGGATCTCTCTAGGATGAGCGCCGCGATCCCCGACGGAGCCGTGTGGGCTTGGGTGGGGGGCCCACAATGAATCGGTGTTCCCCGATATCACTTGAAGGGGAGCATCAGGGTGCACCCAAAATTCAAGTCCCCGGAAATAGCTGTTCCTGGAGGGGAGATTGCAGGGAACCGAATGATCGTTCTTGAGGAGGAGTCCAAAGATCTCCTCAAGGGCGGGAGAGCATGAGGGAAAGGTGTATGAGGCGAACTTATCTTCCTTTTTCCTCCACACATTGGGGAAAGGAAGGTCCTCAGGAGCCATCACCACGAAGAAGTGCCGAAACAAATCATCTATCTTGTCGGAGGGGCTTTCTAGAAATTGCATGTTTGTGCGTGCCGTAAAGCTAACAAAGCCCCTGCCCCCATCTCGGTTGTACTTGTGAGTGCAAAAGAAGTAAAGAAAAAGGTCCAGGCTTGGCTCGATACCCTTCTTATGTCATCGGACTACAACAACAACAACAACAACAACCCAGTTAAATCCCACAAGAGTAGGGTCTGGGGAGGGTGTGTGTACGCAGACCTTGCCCCTACTCGAATGTAGAGAGGCTGTTTCCAAAGAGACCCCCGGCTCAACATCGAAAGTTGCATTGCTTGACTAACTGCTACTTCATTAATTAAAGAAGCGCAGACAGTTTAGAGATCCATTTTGATTTATTCCATCACACCCCAAAGCCAAAAAATGGTGAAATTTTGGCTCCATCGGAGATGATGGAAATAAATGGTTTCGTGAGAATTGGAGGAGATCTGGCCTGGGGGAATGGCATATCGGTTGCAGATGCTCACTAGCAAAGGATGGATGGGAAAACGCCATCCCATCTTGATCGAAACGTAATGAACAATAAGGCGAAAGGAAGAGTTTTTGTTTGTCTCCAAAGTGGTCCAATCTGCGGGACGGACCTCATAACTAAGGGGAATCATCCCCGCATCTCCCTTAAAGGGAAACAGTTCATGCACAATTATGGTAGAAGAGGGACACTAAAAGGAATCTGTCATTTCCAACGGTCCCTGCATTATTATGGTGGGACAGGGACACTTTAGCAGTTTCCAAACGGTCCACTGCCACTCCAAACGGTCAACTGCAGTCCACTTTTTGACGGTCCAATAAGAGAAGCACTGGCACATGCGCCCCACTGAAAGCAATAATTCCCAATATGGCCCGCAAGGATAGACCATGAATGAGGAACATTTGCAGGAATCAGTGCAGAGTGGGTCTTCAAAGCTTGGCGTTTCCAAAGAGAATCTTTAGGAGACATGCTAGAAATTTTCCAATCTACATATATTAGATATGCTGAAGCAAATTTTTTTTTATTTTTTGACTAGTAAAAAAGGGGCATTTGATGGGAACCTAGCCCATCAGGACATTATAAGCTGGGTTGGGCCCAAGATAGGTACAAAGCCCAGGTTACGGCCCATACCTTAAAGAGAACCTGTCCAACTAAAGTGTCCAACTAAAGAGACAGACCAGTGGAAGAGTGGAGATTGGGACCTAAGAGATGGGTTGGACCCAAGTCCGTTGAGATCAGGTCACCTAAAGGAAGAAGACCTATTGTAAGGGAATTAGGTTGCAATGTCCCTTATGAGGGACGGACGAGATATTCCATAGACAAAATGGACAGGAAATATTTGTCGGACAGACAAATTTTGTCCCCAAGTGAGTAACTTTAAGCTAAGAGAGGTATTTCTAGAAAAGAGAAAGATTGCCCAGATATTTTCCCAACCACCGCAAATATATTGATGAGATGGTGGCTGGGAAAGCTCCTATTAAAGGAGGTAGAGTTTAGTCAGTGGAGGTAACTTGTAACAGAGAGAAAGACTCGAGTAATAAAAGAGAATATGCCGGTGGTCCTGTAGAGTATTCCGATCCACAAGTGGACCGAATACAGAAAAGGGGCCCCTGTGTGAGTTAACTCTGCGCTTTCTTACGATCCATTGCTCTTTTCTTTTCACTCTCTTATTGTCATAAGGCCCGAATACCAATAGTTGGACCCTGGACTGCCCAACAGTCCTAAGAGAAAATATTAGGCATCCATCAAGGATTGTATATGAAAAAATCTCTTACTATAAAGGATTATCTATTAGAGAAAGATTAAAATATGAGTAAAACATAAGAAAAATTTTCAAAATAGAACCTTCGTGTTTTTACACCCAAAATTAGATTCATAACGTCAATAATTACATTATAAAATAAAAAAACATTGTATAACACTAATATACAGTAACACATTTTCATAGTGCAATAGTCCTATTTGGCAATGAAAACCTCTTACTTCTATTTTTCGCAAATTATATCGTACAGCCGGCTGTACGGGAAGAACCGTACAGCCGGCGAAAATTAGAGATTAAGAGCAGCGCGTGATCGAATCAAACCCTAGTGCCTCTGATCGGAAAACAAAGGCAGTACAGAGTTGGAGGCTGGGTGCAGCTCGGCGAAGGTGATGATGAAGATGATGGTGATGTGATAGGGGGAAGGTAATTGTATTATTTTTGTATACCAGATGGAACCTATTGGTGGGGTTTACGGGCTGTAGAAATTTAGTCCGAAATAGTTTAGGTTTTGGGTGAGGAAGATGAAGAAGGGTGACAGATTGATTTTAGACTAGGTGTAATGAGCTGTACTTTAATTGAGATTGAACACTACTTGATTTGAGAATGAGTACCATTTTGTTTTAGAATGAACACTATGCTATTCGTAGATGAATATTATAATTGTATGAAATAAATGTGTGAAAATGGTTACTACATTATTTCAGAATGAGTATTACGTTATTTCAAAATGAGTACCACGGTGTTCAAAATAAACAGTTCTATTTGTGCGAGAATGAGTACTACTCTCTATTTTTGGGCTAAGAATTATGTTTTGTTTCTATTTTTTGTATATTCTTATTATTCATAGAATCTACTCCTTTTAAAATTACTTGACATACAAATTGGTATAAAAATAAAAAAAATAAATTAATATTTCAAAATTATATCAAAGACTTTATAAAATAAAATATGACGATAATATTTTATCAATAATTAGAAAAAAAAAAGTAAAACTAAAATTATTGAAAAACTATAATATTAACTGGAAAGTTAAATTTGAGCAGGATGATAGACTGCTTAAAATCCCCGTTTAATCCAAATTCCAACGTTATGATGATTGATGATATACTGTTTAAAATCCCCGCGAGTGAGCTGTAACCTATCTCAAACGGTCAATAAATTGTATGTGAACCCATTTTTAAAAAGTTTACTGTTTTCAACATGATTTTCTTTGGATTTGACCCTTCAACAGCAATTTATTTTCTTTTACTCCTTTAACAACACAATAATTTCCTCTCGGACTCAAATTAATACTCCTAGCTTGACTTTGTATAGAGTTTACAAAAACTAAAAATTGTATGATTAAAAATCATGCAGAGAAAAGAGAAAAAAAGTGAGCCAGTAAAGGCTTTCCAAAAAAGAAATAAGAAGTAATTTGGGACAGTCCAAAAAAGAAATAAGAAGGATTAATTTGGAATAGTCTAAAAACAAAATAAGGAGATTTAATTTGAGATGAATGAAGTATTCAAGTTCTCATTATCACTTAAACACATATCTAATCAAAGTTCTTAACTTTTAAAATAAATTGTATTTTAAATATTAATTCTCTTTCTTTTTCTTAGATTTTAATCACATAAATTTACTTTTTGTTAAATATGAAATTAGTGAGATGTAGTACTCCGTAGTAGTTAACCGTTTCTATTAGAATACTTTACTGGTTTATTGCTAATTCCATCTTCATTTGGCTATGTTAACTCTTCTTTGTGTGAAATAGATAATTTTATCCTTAATGTTTGATATGGGAAAAAGAAAGAAGTGTGTTAGAATATAATAAGCATTTCCTATGGCACAACCACAAGTTTGAGCTTTTGGTTGAGTTGGTTCTTGACATGGTATCGGAGCCTTGTTGACTAAGAGGTCACGGGTTTGAAACTCAGCGCCACCCAGTTTTAAAAAGAAATATTTGCATTAAATAGCACTAAAATTTAAGTAATTTCCCTAAATAGCACTTAAATTATTTTATTCCCTATATAGCACTTCATAATGTCCATAGTGTCCAATGACGACCAATATTTACTTCAATAATGACTAATGAAAAATGACTAAAAGTGCTAGATTGGGAAAAAAACACATGTAATCCTATTTAGGGAAAAGTCATTACGTTTTAGTGCTATTTACATAAATTCCTCTTTTAAAAAATTAAGGTTTCACGTGCGAGGCTCGAAAAAAGACTACGCTTGCACGTGAGGGGGCGTGTTAGAATATAGGGCCTGTTTGGGGATAGCGTTAGCGTTTTGAAAAGACTATCTACGGGCAACGTTTAGCGTTAGCGTTTTCAAAGTAATCTGCACCGTTAAAATTCTATCCAAAACGCTAACGCTAATCTCTAACGCTATTTCCAAACAGGCCCTAATAAGCATTTTTTGTGCCACAACCACAAGCTTGAGCTTTTGGTTGAGTTGGTTCTTGACAAAGTGAAAGGAAAAAGGTTTCCATTTCTTATAAATGTTGTGCATTTAGCCAATTAGGATATGAATTTCGCATCACCCTATTTTACTATGCGTTAGGTTAATTAGTGTCACACATTAGAACGCTTAACATGAGTAGCCCGGACGGTGTGCAAGGTATCCATCCACACAGTGACATAGGGCTCCCAAATTCTTAGGGTTGATATTGTTAAGTGTTCATTATTCTAATTAATTATTATTTTTTAAATTGAATATAAATTTATATTTTAATATTCAAATTGTTATAAAAATGGTAATTTAAAATCAAATTCAGTACAAATTTTAAAGAATGAGTACTCTGAAAAAAATAAAATAGGGCCAACACGTGAATTTTGCATAGGGGCAATCTCATTTTTTCACATTTCCGGGATGACCCTCGAATGCTACTCATAAGAAAAAGAGAAAATGCGAATAAGAAAAATGTTGGTTTTGCTCCATTTGTCATTGGTTCAACCTTTTAAAAATAAAAAGAAATTGGACATAATCATCACCAAGTATGAATATTGGACAACTGTATTTTCAATAGACATATTTACACTAAATAGCACTAAAACTTAATTCGTTTTCCTGAATAGCACTTAAAATTTTGCAATTATGTTGAACCAATCATCTATTATCATTTTTACATGTTGTTTAAAATTAGTCTATTTTTTTGGAGTTAACTGGCTATTAATCTCCAATTATACGGGACAAATTTTAAACAGAACTTAGCGTAACGAACGTCTTAATGACTACCTAATCACCATTAATATGTCATTATTGCCATGGTTTAATAACAAGCATTAAGTGTGTGTATGTTACATTTTTAAATGCTTAGTTATAAAAATCAAGAGCCTCTCGCATTATTTTGTGGTGTTCCATACGTGAGAGAGGAGAAAAAGAAAGGAAAAATTTCTTCTTATTCTTAGAGGTCCCCTCGTCCATCCTCAAGAGCTCCTACTCCATTCTCCTGAGAGTGGCTGCCAGCCACTGGTTAGCCACTACCCACACCAACACTGTCACCAAAGCTATGGGGATGTTGTTGTACAAGATCAAAAATGATGTTTCAGTCAACCTGGCCAGGGAAGCTGATTGTGTCCTAAATTGCTGAATTTGGGAAACGAAAATACAAGCAAAATGATAATGGTCTGCCTTTTCCTGTTCTAATTTTTTAATTTTTTAAATGCTTGATTCCCAGGGGTTTGCCAAAGATGATGCTGACAAGGATGAACCACTGGAGCCACTGTTTCAAATTGACTATAGGCACTTTGAAGGCAATCATTTCAATGACATAGAGACTGTCCAAAGCCATTTCAAGAGTGGAGTGTCAGCTTTGCTTCAGTACCTGGATTCCAAGCTGCAGGCCAATAAGGAAGAACTCAGTGTGATGAATTGCAAGAAGGTTGCTCTTGAGGAGGAGAACAGACATCTTACCTGGCTGAAAGAAATGGTTACTGACAATGCTACAGCAGAGGATGGATATAGCCAGGGGAAGAGTTCCCATTGGGAGGAGGATGATGACCTTTCAGCCTAATTCATATTGCATTTGTAAACACTTGCATTTCCTAAGCAGCTATTTGATTTTAGGGTTGTTCTGCCCTATTTTTGATTCCAAACAATTTTCTTTCTTGGTTTGTGCTACAATCTTTGTTTTTTGTGCTACTGGGCATGCTTTTGTCTCGGCTAAACTTCATTTGGTTATTCGAATTCTCTGTTTGGATATTTGAGGATCTTCGCACTCATGTTTTTGGCACTGATGTTCTGTTTACTGCTCAAATGTTACTTTCTCTCCGACATGGTGTAGGTACAACCCAAACCAGCCACTGTGTTCACCTTTACTTGTACCTCTCTTGCTAAAGGTTTTAATATTACTCTTCCTTGTCCCCCCTAGAACTTCTTAATAAACTTTGGATCTTTTGTACAAAAAAAGGGGAGAAGAGGTTCAAACGGCTAGAGAGTCTAGTATATTTGTTTTTGTCCAAAAGGATTGCCAAAGGGGGAGATTGTTAGTTATTATGTAACCTGGCTTTAGTTGTTTCTTTGTTGCTAGCATTATCCTTTGTGGCGAAAACAAATAGAAGGATATCATTTATTGTTGTTCGTCTTGTTGGGGTTGTAGCATCTCGCCATGTCATTGAGATCAAAAGAGTCCTCCGTATTCAGTTGTCTATGGTGCTTATGGGTTTCATGTCGTGATTGGAGTTCTGTGCCAGCTATGAGATCCTGCTTCGATAGAAGACCTGCGGCGTGCACTTGTTGTGTCTTCCTATATATACAAACATAGGCTGTATTGTTACGTGGGAAAATAGTAGAGTGATAAACCGCATCAATACAGTGAGAATGATCGTGAAGAGGTGGAAAGGTTCATCTGGTTCCTGACAGAAAACTTGCGGCATTTAGATAAACAGAACAGGCTATGTGATTATTTATCGATCACTTCTCTGTGAGTAAGATGATGCTATCATCCAGCTGTTGATCTATGAAGTGCTGGTAAAGGGTCTGAACACATCCATCAATCGGATTTATCAAGAGTTGGTGTAACTAGCCATAGTAGATGATGCAAACAGAGTTTGTCATCAAAGTCATCCGTAAGTTGATTAAGTCAATCCATTAGATCAAATCTATTGCGATTGAAGGTGCAATATTTATGGTGATTTAGTTGAAGGGCTGTTACACGGATGTGGGCCCCGCAGAACTAGGAGAGATCTCCGAATTGTGTAAGCAATTCTTGTGTCTTCTTTATTACTTTTATTTTGCTCTTTGTGTGTGTCAGTGTTAGAGAAAGTGCTGCGGCATCTTGTCTGTCTTCTATGAATGTGCTGCAGCAGTTTCTGCATATAATCCTTTGAATATATTTTGCTCGGCCTTAACGTGTTGACATGTCAAACATCGAGCCGTAAACTCTGTGATTTCTCTCTTCATCGCAGGCCACCAATAATGCTTCTGGAGGTCCTGGAACATCTTGTTACTACCGGGGTGCATGGTATATACCGTACCATGTGCTTCGCGAAGGAGACGTTCCCTTACTTCCCCCGTTAGCACTACCATACGTTCCCAATACAACAGAACACCATCCTCACGGACAGCGAAGTCGGGTTTCTCGCCCCGGGAGACGAGTTCACAGGTCTGCCTGCAGAAGTCGTCGCTGCTCTGTGCCGACACAATCTTGTGCAACAATGTAGACCGAACTCGGAGTACGGCTAGAGTTTTGCGACTAAGATCATCGGCCACCACGTTCGCCTTATCAGGGTGATAAGCAATATGGCAGTCGTAGTCCTTAATCAACTCCAACCATCTCCGCTGACGTAGATTCAAATCCTTCTGACTTAGAAGATATTGTAGACTGTTATGATCGGTGAAGATACGCGTTGTCTCGCCGTACAAATAATGTCTCCAGATCTTCAGAGCGAGAACGATCGCCGCCAACTCTAGGTCGTGTGTAGGGTAGTTGCACTCATGCGGCTTCAACTACCGAGACGCATAAGCTACCACCTTACCCTCCTGCATAAGAACACACCCTAGGCCATTGTGTGAAGCGTCGCTGTAAATTGTGTACTCCACTCCAGGAGTCGGCTGTACCAATACGGGTGCCTGGGTCAAACACTCCTTCAGCTTCTCGAAGCTCTGCTGACAAGCCTCGGTCCAGTAAAACTTCACATCCTTCTTCATTAACTTGTGCAAAGGTGAAGCTATCCTTGAGAAGCCCTTCACGAATCGCCAATAATACCCTGCCAATCCGAGAAAACTCCTCACCTCTCGTGCATTGCGTGGAATCTTCCATCCCATGACCGTTGAGATCATACACGGGTCCACCTTCACTCCTTCGGCCGAGATGACGTGGTCGAGGAAAGTGACCTCGTGCAACCAAAACTCACATTTGGACAGCTTGGCATAAAGTTTCTGTTCTCGTAGTATGCTAAGTACTGTGCGCAGGTGCTCCGCGTGCTCCTCCCGCGTCTTGGAGTACACCAAGATGTCGTCGATGAAAACGACCACGAACTGATCAAGGTACTTTTGGAACGCACTGTTCATCAAATCCATGAAGACAGCCGGTGCATTAGTCAACCCGAAAGGCATCACCGTGAACTCATAGTGACCATAGCGGGTGCGGAACGCTGTCTTCAGAATATCCTCCTTCTTGACCGGAATCTGATGGTACCCTGATCGCAGGTCAATTTTAGAGAATACTGTGGCTCCTCTCAACTGGTCGAACAAGTCATCGATGCGAGGAAGAGGATAACGGTTCTTGATGGTGACTTTGTTCAGCTGACGGTAATCGATGCATAGCCTCATCGAACCGTCCTTCTTGCGAACGAATAGGACTGGTGCGCCCCAAGGGGACACACTAGGACGTATGAAACCCTTATCCAAGAGCTTCTGCAGTTGAGCTTTCAGCTCCTTCATCTCTGCCGGGGCCATGCGATAAGGTGTGATGGAGATGGGTCCCGTTCCTGGAACCAAGTTGATAGAGAATTCTACCTCCATCGGGGGTGGTAATCCTAGAAACTCGTCTGGAAATAAGTCTGGGAACTCGCACACCGTAGGGATTTCCTCCCGTCCGGGCGCCTCTAACTGCGTGTCGCGGACTGTGCATAGAAAAGCCTTGCATTTCCTGCGTATGAGACGACGAGCTTGCATATAGGAGATGAATTCGGGAGCTTTCGGGAAAAGCTTGTCGTGGACCAGTACTTCGCTACCGTCTTCAGCTTTTAGCCGTACAGTGTGTGCACCACAATCAACTACAGCTTGGTTGGCCGTGAGCCAATCCATGCCCAGAATAACATCGAATTCCCAATGTGGAAGCTCGATCAGATATGCAGGAAAACTCTTCCCTTGCACCACTAACGAACAGTTGAGATAAATATGATTGAGACGTAGACTGTGTCCCAATGGGTTGGACACAACAACCGGATTCTCCAGGTTCTCTCTCGAGATGTTCGACACAACAGGCATAGATGTACATAAATACGACAATGTAGAACCCGGATCAATCAGAGCAGATATGGTCGTATCAAATAAGGTGAACATACCCATAATCACTGTTAGAGTAAGTGACCAACGCTAGAGGGGGGTGAATAGCGTTTGATCGTAGAAATTGCAGGAATAAAATATTAAGAAAGTGAAAAGTAAAGAGCGTAGAAAGCGTAAAGGGAGCACACCAAGATTTATACTGGTTCACCACAATGTGTGGCTAATCCAGTCTCCCGAGAGACTCTCTCGAGCTACACTACTTCCGTTACGCTTACGGGTGCTTAACAAACCGTTACAACCTGAGAACTCGAGTCCCACGAGCCTCAACAACACTTGCTTGGAGATACCGCACTCCAAGACTTCAACCCGAAGGAAAATACCTTTCCTTCGTACAACCAAGGGAAACAAGCTTCCCTAAACGTGTTTACAACACTAAGAACACTCAAGAACAAGAATCTCTTTAAGAGTAGATGTTGAGTAAACTATATACGCTCAAGAACAACTCAAACTTCACAAATTGGCTCTAGAAAGCTATGGAAAATGATGTTGTTTGAATGCAATGATAACATGAATAATGTGAAGTAAATTGATGAGAAAAGCAGACCCAAACACCCCTTTTTATAGTGCCAAAATGGGCTCCAACGGACCAATGCATTAAAGGGGTGATTGGCTTGATTTATGGGATTGAATAAATTTGGGATCTGCAGGATATTGCCTTCCCATCGATGTTTGGAACTTACCCATCGCTGGTAAGCCAATTTTCCTTTAGTTTTGAAGCCAACGGTTACCTACCCATCGATGCGTACAAGCTTCCCATCGCTGGGTGGGAGGTTGACTTCCAAACAAGGAAAGAATCAACCTTAAATGACTTCCAACGGTCATGCCTTCCCATCGATGGTTTATCCTTACCATCGCTGGGTTCCCATCGATGGGGTAAAGTTCCCATCGCTGGGTAAGGTCGTTCTGCCTTGTGTTGATGTTGGACCAAGGCTTTAACAGCGATGGGTAAAACTTCCCATCGCTGTTTGGCATGGTTCTGGAACTTGGTTAGGCTGAAGGACCGCCTACCCATCGATGGGAAGTTTTTCCCATCGCTGGGTGGGTGGTTAGCCAAAAACCCATGGTGTTTGCCTTAACCACGGCCTAGCCAACCGATGCAAAAAACCGACCGAAAAATCCAATGTTCTCCAAAATAAAAACCAAGTGTTTGAAACACTTATTTGATGTATTTGGCTAAGAAATCAAGTGAGTTACTTTAAAAACCACGTCATTTGAGTAAAAACCACGGCCAGCCAAGTTTACGCCGTTTTGCATGATTTTTGTCAAACGACCAAAAGCGAAAGATGGTTTTCAAAGTGTTTTTGTTGGAGAACCGTTTAAACATTCCAAAGAGTGGAAACCAATCATAATATTCTGAAAACAACTTGGTTGGTTCAGATGCCAAAAACCAATGCCGATAACCGAAAGCCGAATGCTGGTTTCTAAAAGCCGAACACTGGATGGCTTGGTTTTTGGTTTGGGTGAACACCAAGTGTTTTTAATGACTTAAACAAGTTTGAAAAAAAATTTTATGATGTAAGAAATGCAATGAAAGATTTTAGCCTAAAGAGCCAAGGTGTAAAGATTGGGTCGGTCTTGATCACAATAAAGACCGACTCAACGATACTAAGACTAAGGTCTTCGTTCTTGGTCTTCGTTTAGCTCTTGTTCTTATCTTCATTCTTCGCCTTGTATATTCAAAGTTTGACTTGATCACGGAGGTTTGGCATTATCAAAACCTGTCATAAAAACAAACACGGCTTTAGTACGAAAAACGTGACAAGCCCGTGTTTCAACAATTTCCCTCTTTTTGATAATGGCAAACAAGATGAGGTTACGCATATGAGGATTGTTTTGAGAAAAAAATGTTCCCCCTTAATAGATGCCATTTTATTTTTAACAAAGTAAAAATTCCCCCTCAATTTATGCATAACCTTGATATCTTCCTCCTTTTGACATTAACAAAAAGAATTAAAAGTAGACTTTAAAAGTGAACTTTTATTCATTAAACAAAGGGAAATGCAGAATACAACGGAATTGAAATAAAAAGGATGCAATCATAGTAGGAAAAGGAAAGAAAGGAAGAGTCTAGGCATCGGCGTCCTCGTCCTCGTTGTCATTGTCATCGTTCTCGTCATCCTCGTCGTCCTCGACGTCCATGGGATCCCCGTCGACTGCGTCCTCAAAGTCGGCCTCGTCGGGGGAGGAGGGCGGAGCATAGGAGTTATCCTCCTCGTCCTCGCCTTAATAGTTTTGGCCGAGGAAGGTGCTATCAAAGGGCGGCGGGACGTAGTTGATGCCGCGAAAGAACGCCGTCATGTCGTGGTGTTGATGTCTACGGTGATGGTTAGCCGATTTAGGGTGTCGGCTATGGATTGTAGATTGGCCCAAGCGGGAGCGAGGGCAGGGGCACGGGAAGGGGCACGAATTGGTCTGGCGTCGTCCCGGTCTCCGGACATCTTCCGGAAGGTGCTGTCTTGAATGATCCAAGTCTTCGTTATCTTCGTATCCGGGCCGGCGATGGAGATGTCGGCGGAGATGATGAGGTCCATGACGAGGAAGGCGTATGGCAAGCTCCGCTCGGTGGTGATGGAGGCGCAATCCGCCATGTGAATCATGACGTATTTTTCCCAGTTGATCGAGGCGCGATGGATGATAGCATGAACCGCCTTGAGATCCTCGTTGGAGAGAGAGGTGTGGCTACTGTCTCGGGGGCGAAGAATCCGGGTGAGGATGTAGAGTAGGAGACGCTTTTCCGGCGGGGCTGAGTGGATGGTTGGTGCGCCGCTGTGACGGATGAGGTTGGTGATGCCAAGCTCTTAGATGACCACCGCCTCGTTGTTGAGAATCCAATCATCGCCACCATATGTCGCGATGTCGTCACCGCGGGTGGGCAGCCCTGCAACCCGAGCAAAAGTAGCCAAGTCAAACTCTATGTCATAGAGATTGATGCTACTGCGAATGGTATCCCCGTCCCGGTGGAGATTGGAGTAGAAGGCCTGGACATAGGCGGGATTGAAGGAGGTGCGGCTCTTGGAGACGAAGGGCCACAAACCCGACTCCTTGAGTTGATCGTCGAGGTCGTGGTACCCTTTTTGCTGGGGAAACAACTCGGGCAGCACCCTTGGCGGAGAGATACGGCGTTTGGCGAAGTGGGTGATGAAGCGAGTGAGTTCTTCCTCCAAGCCAAACTCGAGAAAGGATCCGTCCAGGTACGGAAAGGGTTGAGGCGCAGAGGTTGTGGCCTCGGTAGTGACCTTCTTCTTGGAAACTTTGCTCTTGGACTTTCCTCCGGCCATGATTGAAGCGTTTCTTAAGAAAGATTGATGATATAAGTATAGTTGGCTAAAGAAATGAAAATATGATGTTAATTGTATGTTAAGAAGGAAAGGGATGAGGTGAATATATAGGGAGAGGAAGATGAAACCGTGTGAATTCAAAAAAATATGGCTGTTGGGCATTAAATTCAGTGCCCAACGACCATAATTTTCGAATTTCAACTGCCTTCCTAGCGATGGTAAGAACTGCCCATTAATGGGAGGGTCGCTACTGGAAAGCGAGAAGAAAACAAGGCTGCCTTCCCAGCGATAGTAATATTCACCCATCGATGGGAAGGTGGCTACTAGAAGTCCGATAAAACCTTTTTTTAAAAAAATGTCAAATACCCAGCGATGGGAAAAAGTTTCCATCGATGGGTAGGGAGGTTCTGTAAAAAATTTTTGACAAAAAGTCCTTCACCCATCGATGGGTTGAGGTGTTCTGGAAAATCGTTAAGTATTTTTTTTAAATAGAGTCAATCACCCATCGATGGGAGAAAGTTCCCATTGATGGGAAGAGGGGTTCTGGAAAAAGAGAACTTCCCTCCTAGCGATGGTGTAGCCCACATATCGCTGGTTCCCCCTGATTTCCAGAATTCTTCACTTCGAACTGTCCTTGCAAAAAAAGGAATAACACTTTGGTACCCAAAGTATGTCTATGGGTCCTTGGGGGTTAGTTGACCTTTATTGCCCACACACACGCCCAAAATTCGCACACACACACACACAATTAAGTGATTGTTTAGGAGTTACCTTGGCCAACACATTGTCTCGTGGTTGGCGGGTTCCAGTCTACCTGAACGGAGTGCCGATATCTCGGTGTGGTTTGTGTTGGTTCCGGTAACGGAATGTGGACTTTCTTCTTTTCGTCAAAGTAGAAGAAATAATACAGTTTCTTTTGTGCATTATCCTGTGGAGATTGTTTATGATATGAATATCCTTTTCCAAAGGATTTCTTTTTGTTAGCACCAAAAATGTTGTGTGTTTCATTATAGGTGGAGTGCCTATGTCTGGTAAAACACACGGGAGCTATATGTCCTACCCTATTGCAATAATGGAAAACTACGTTTGGGTTGTGCATCCTCATAGGTTGATAATAGTTGATAGAGGGCCTAACCATACTCATCCTATTTTGGGAAAATATTGGTTTTTGAAAACTCTCTCTTCTAGGTGTTCTAGCATTATTTTGTCTATTTGAAAAATTAATTTTATGCACAAATTCATTTTGATAGTTTTTCTTGGGTTGTCTAACATGCACATTTTCATTCCTAGGCTTTTGTCTAGGTTGTCTAGTGTCCTTAGGTTGACTAGATGTTTGCTCAACGTTTTTATCCTTAGATTCATTTTTATCAAAACCTATTCTTTCTTTAGAAAAATGCATGGTGTCAAGGAGTAAATTAAGATTTTTGTGCGGAGTATTAAATTTCTTAACCGTACTCTCAAGTTTAGTGACTTGTTCCTTTAAGACTTTACAAGATTCACATTCGTTTGAGGAACTTTCCGGTTTGTCGGCGCTTCTTTTGCCATTAAATTTATTTTATTGTTTCAACTTCTCATTATCTTTTTCCAACTTTTCAAAATCATTTTCAAGAGTGGAAAGGCGTTTCTTTAACGATTTGTTGAGTTTAGACATCATAAAGTTCGTGAAGTGCTTCTTGCATTTCTTCAAAAGTGTAGGAGTCGGAAGAAATGGTACATACCTCTTGTACATCGTCGGTTTGGTCTTCGTGTGCCATGAGACAGAGGTTGGCAGCTTCATCCTCATCTTGGTCGGTTGACTCGTCGCCGGAGTCTCCACCCCAAGAGATATACGCCCTTTGCCTTTTGAAGTGTCGAGCATTCTTTCCGCTTTTCAGGCATCTGTTCTTGATGTGCCCGGCTTCTCCACATCCATAGCACACAGGGCCATCCTCAACCTTTTCTTTCTTTCTTAAAAGTTTGCAGAACTTCTTCATGACAAGCTTGACTTCATCATCGTCACTTGTACCATCCATCGTTGATTCTTTGACGGCTTTTAGTGCTATCCCTTTCCTTTGGTCATTCAAAAGCGGATTAAGAATAGTCGATTCATAGGTTTTTAGATTACCTCTTAGGCCGTCGATGGTGACATTTGATGTGCCGATTGATTCATAGATGGCATCGGCCTTGGATCGCCATTCGGATGTCAAGCTCCGTAGGATCTTTCGCACAAGATCCCTGTCGGTGTACGTCTTCTTTAATGCATGAAGATCGTTGACTATCTTGGAGAAACGGTCGAACATATCGTCAATCTTCTCGTGCTCCTTCATCCTGAACATCTCATACTCTTGGGTGAGGAAGTCGATCTTGGCTTCACGTACTTGGTCCGTTCCTTCGTACGTCACCTCGAGCTTATCCCACATCTCCTTGGCGGTTGAGCAGCAGGAGATCTTGCGGTAGTCATCGGGATTGACCGCGCAGTAGATCATATTAATCGCCTTTGCATAGTTTTCTACTTTCTTGATGTCTTCGGCATCAAATTCGTCTTTGGCACCTCTTCCCCGTTTTTGATAACCAACCATAATTGGAAGTTCGTGGAACGAATATAGATTCTCATTCGTTCCTTCCAATATGTATAATTTGTTCCATCAAAAAGAGGTGGCCGTGTGGTTGATTGCCCTTCACCTATTCTTGCATACAAATTTCTAGAAGAAGAACCCATGATCGCTTTACTCTCAAACGGTTAAGTTTGGACGCGAGTTAGGCTCTAATACCAATTGTTAGAGTAAGTGACCAATGCTTTTGGGAAACAAGGCTTGGATAACGCAGCGGAAAAAAAAAATTTATAGTCCAAAACTCGATTCCACCCAAGAACAACCAAGAAAAGCAGACCCAAACACCCCTTTTTATAGTGCCAAAATGGGCTCCAACGGACCAATGCATTAAAGGGGTGATTGGCTTGATTTATGGGATTGAATAAATTTGGGATCTGCAGGATATTGCCTTCCCATCGATGTTTGGAACTTACCCATCGCTGGTAAGCCAATTTTCCTTTAGTTTTGAAGCCAACGGTTACCTACCCATCGATGCGTACAAGCTTCCCATCGCTGGGTGGGAGGTTGACTTCCAAACAAGGAAAGAATCAACCTTAAATGACTTCCAACGGTCATGCCTTCCCATCGATGGTTTATCCTTACCATCGCTGGGTTCCCATCGATGGGGTAAAGTTCCCATCGCTGGGTAAGGTCGTTCTGCCTTGTGTTGATGTTGGACCAAGGCTTTAACAGCGATGGGTAAAACTTCCCATCGCTGTTTGGCATGGTTCTGGAACTTGGTTAGGCTGAAGGACCGCCTACCCATCGATGGGAAGTTTTTCCCATCGCTGGGTGGGTGGTTAGCCAAAAACCCATGGTGTTTGCCTTAACCACGGCCTAGCCAACCGATTCAAAAAACCGACCGAAAAATCCAAAGTTCTCCAAAATAAAAACCAAGTGTTTGAAACACTTATTTGATGTATTTGGTTATGAAATCAAGTGAGTTACTTTAAAAACCACGTCATTTGAGTAAAAACCACGGCCAGCCAAGTTTACGCCGTTTTGCGTGGTTTTTGTCAAACGACCAAAAGCGAAAGATGGTTTTCAAAGTGTTTTTGTTGGAGAACCGTTTAAACATGCCAAGGAGTGGAAACCAATCATAAAATGCTGAAAAACACTTGGTTGGTTCGGATGCCAAAAACCAATGCCGATAACTGAAAGCCGAATGCTGGTTTCTGAAAGCCGAACACTGGATGGCTTGGTTTTTGGTTTGGGTGAACACCAAGTGTTTTTAATGACTTAAACAAGTTTGAAAAACATTTTTATGATGTAAGAAATGCAATGAAAGATTTTAGCCTAAAGAGCCAAGGTGTAAAGATTGGGTCGGTCTTGATCACAATAAAGACCGACTCAACGATACTAAGACTAAGGTCTTCGTTCTTGGTCTTCGTTTAGCTCTTGTTCTTATCTTCGTTCTTCGCCTTGTATATTCAAAGTTTGACTTGATCACGGCGGTTTGGCATTATCAAAACCTGTCATAAAAATAGACACGGCTTTAGTACGAAAAACGTGACAAGCCCGTGTTCAACAATCACGTCGTGGGCGGGTTGCTCGGTGCGTCCATGCATCGCATAAGTACGAGCTGGAGCCTTACCGGACTTTGCGCTCGGTGCCGGCCTCTTCGGTTGACTAGATGCCGCTACCGACTTCTGGCTCGGTGCGGGCTGGGCTGCTGGAGCTGAGGCCGCGGCCGCGGGCGCTGTCGGGAACGCCACATCAGGGTTCGTCGGGCAGTTTCTACAGAAATGTTCTGCCTGTCCACACCTAAGGCATAAGTCCTGAGTGAACCAACACTCACCGGACTGCCTCCGGCCACAAAGGTTGCAGGTCAGGTTCCGATATCCGCTTTGGATCTGGCTCTTCCCACTCTTCTGAGTGGGTGCTGTTGACACGGATGGTGCAGACCTAACCTTCTAGCTCGTGTGCGAGCTGCTTGGTACAGGGGGAGGCCTCTTGTCGCTGGAGCAGAGTCTGGGTGGCGGAGGCGGACGAGGATGCGTCGTCTGGGCTTGCTCATATTCAGCCTTCCTGAGTAAGGTCGTCTATAGCTCTAACGCCTGCTTGTACAGGTCGTTGATGTCGTTCCTAGGCGCCGAAACCAACCCGGAGGACAAGTCAGGACGTAACCCCTCCCTGAAGTGCTTGCACCGCTTCTCCATCATCGGCACCAAATCCCGGCCGAACTCGGCCAGCTCATCAAACTTCTGGCGGTACTCTGGTAGCGTTAGTTCACCCTGGGTGAAGTTCATAAACTCATCGCGCTTCTCCTCCATGAAGTGCTCGGGCACGTACTCCTCACGGAAGAGCTCATCGAAGGTTGTCCACGGCACCGGCTCTGAGACGTTCGCTCCCGCGCGCTTTTACCAGTCGTAGGCGGCATCCTGGAGTAAGGCGATAGCTAAGTCGCCTCTCTGCTCCATTGGAACCCGTAGAGTTCCGAGAACTCGACCTGTGCGCTCGAGCCAG